AAATGTAACAGATAGAGATAGAGATTGCAAACATATACTCAGTGACTTTAGCGAGGTTCGGAAACTCCAAATCCTCGGCTCAAGACCCTTCTTGTGACTTTCCAATTCACTATGGCTCCTCCTTGCAGGTGGAGAGCAAACCTCTTACAAGAAGCTTTTCCTTGCTTCTAAGTGCTAAGAGAAACACCTTCTCTCAGTCTTTCTTAGGCCACACCAGCCCTTACAAGATTTGAACTAGATTACAAGATTCAGCTCACTCTAGAAAATATATGAATAAATTGAAGCTCAATACTCTTTTATGATATGAAGTGTGTATTTGATGATGAAAGGCTTTATGATTGCAAGAATGTATTTCTCAATGAATGCAACTTTTTATGAAAACTACCAATCATTATATAGACTTTCAGAACTATTTGAAATGTATTCTAGCTGTTGGACACGCACTTCGAGGAAAAATGGCCATTCAAAATTTGAATTCTCGCAGGTTCGGTCGTCCAAAATAAAACACCCTTGAGGTTCGGTCGACCGACTTGGTTAAAGGTTGGCCATTATCCTTGGTTCGGTAGACCGATGAAAAATCCCATTTGTTTCGGTTGACCGAAACTGCTTCCTCCATTGTTTAAAACCATTCTGTGTAAATCGGCTCTGCTGTTTCATTTGCTTCTTTAGTTTCGGTCTCAAGTGATGTTCTTTAACATGTTAGGTTCAGTAAACCGAAATATAATGGTCCTGAGTTTCGGTAGACCGATATTACTTATAAACTTCGATCTAAGCTTTTGATAGAATCAGTCGACCGGTTTAGATTATCCTTCCATTTCGGTTGACCGAAATGGAACTTCATTTTCAGGAACATGTTTTGATGATATATTGAACTTGGTCCTATGTTCTTTAGACTTATGATTGAGTTTATATGCATGATTATGAGAGTGTGAGCTCCAAAGTGTTCATACAAACTTTAACAAAGTTTCCTAAGATGCTCACCATTCTAGTTAACCCCATTGATGAGATCTTGATAACTTCTCTTGAATCTTTATTCCTTTTTGTCATATCTTGGTGATGCTTTTTCCTTTGAGCTTTAATATGTAATGACTTGTCTTGATGAATGGTTTTGATCTGTAATTTTGCTCAAGATAAACATTAGTACACATAGAACAATCATTAATGAATTATGATCATCAAAATCTTTAGATTCAAGGTCAACAACCAAATATGAACACTTTGAACACTTTGAAATGAAGATTTTTTAATGGAGACTTCTGTAATTACAGTGAACTTTAACATGCTCTGAAATTGGCATAAGGTAATCCGATAAGGTGTTTATCATTAATTTATACAACCAAATTATAAATGAATTTTTTAATTCTCGGATTTAAGTTTTTATTTGTTTATCATTATTTAGAAAAATTAGAGACTTTTTGTTATTCAATTCCTGTTAAGGAACAACTTGAATAATATATGTTTTCAATTTAATAATATTATGTATGACTTTTTTTAACATTAATATTTATGTTAAATTGACATATTTGTTTGAATAAATTAATTGTTATTTTAATTTTTATATTGCGTGTTATATAGATATATGATATAATAGTGTAATTTGAACAATTTTCAGATTTCACCTTTTGTATTTATCAAAAACTGTTAGAATTCTTTTTAAATTAACAAATTCAAAACTTAAAAACTCTTTTATTAATAATTTTAGTATTTAATTTTCAGACCAAATGCCTAATTTACCTCTCAAAGTGGGATGGTGAGGGTTCAAGTTTAGTGGTGTGTTAGTTTCTGTCCAATGACAAAATAAAGGAAGAAAAAGAAAAAGAAAATTTAATTTGGAGCGTTATCAGAACATCCCACTTATGATTTTATTTATAAATCATTTTTTAATACTAATAATATGCCCGACTTTAAACCGATTAACATAAAAATCTACCGTGTTTATATGGGCGCGAATCACCTGCTGTGCAATTCTTATGCGGTTTCCTACTATAATTTTTAAGTGGTCCATATTTGGCCATATCATTCTTCAGCTAACAGACACTAAGGCGGTGTTTGGCCAATTACACTACAACATTTCACCACTATTTATAACTAACATCACAGAATCTAAAAAGTAACATCACCATTTGTAAAAAGAAACATCACCACTTTCAATTTCAAATAATACCACCATTTATAAGTAACATTTCACCGCCATTTATAAGTAACATCACACAGTCTAAAAAGTAACATCACCACTATTTAAGTAGCAATTGCACCATTATTTATAAGTAACATTTCTCCACCATTTATAAGTAACATCACAGAAGTCTAAAAGTAATATCACAGAAGTCTAAAAGTAATATCACATAATCTAAAAAGTAACATCACCATTTGTAAGAGGGTAACATCACTACTTAAATGGTGGTGATGTTACTTTTTAGACTATGTGATATTACTTTAGACTTCTGTGATGTTACTTATAAATGGTAGTGAAATGTTACTTGATGCAATTGCCAAACACACTCTTAGTGTCTGTTAAGTGGAGTAAAATGTGGCCAAACCAAGGCCACTTACCGCTCATTGTAGAAAACAGCATGGGAAAGTAACAGCAGGTGATTCGCGCCCTGTTTATATAAGTTCCTAACCAAAGGGCGCGAATCACCTGCAGTGAGGCTCCCATGCAATTTTCTGCTATAAATTTTAAGTGGTCCATATTTGGTCACATCATTCTTCAACTAACAGACATTAAGGCCGTGTTTGGCCAATTACACCACCATTTATAAGTAACATTTCACCACTATTTATAAGTAACATCACATAATCTAAAAAGTAATGTCACATATAAACATAACTCAATTCAACATATCATTTATGTTATTATTTGAAATTAAAAGTGATGATGTTTCCTTTTACAAATGGTGATGTTACTTTTTAGACTCTGTGATGTTACTTATAAATGGTGGTGTAACCACCATTTATAAGTAACACCACAGAAGTTTAAAAAGTAATATCACCACGTTTTGAGGGTGAAAGATACTTATAAATGGTGGTAATGTTACTTTTTAGACTATATGATATTACTTTTAGACTTCTGTGACGTTACTTAAAAATAGTGGTGAAATGTTACTTATAAATAGTGGTGCAATTGCCAAACATAGTGTTATTATCTATTAAGTGGAGTAAAACGTGGCCAAACCAAGGCCACTTACTGCTCACTGCAGGAAACTGCATGGGAATTGCACAGCAAGTGATTCGTGCCCCTAACGAAAATAGGCATCTTTCCTTTTATATATATTTACATCCATTATTTTATTTTATTTTATTTATTATTTTTTTCATAGCATGTATCAAATCATGAGGCCGGCCGGACCACTGGGATCAAATGAGATTTCTTAGGATTTGAAAGGTGTGGATTGGGATGAAGTGAGAAGGAGAGGAGAATTGAGGAGAAGAGAATGATTGATGGGTGATTTGAATCTAGGGTTCCATAGGATAGGAGGAGTAATGTTATCGAGACAATTGATGTCTTTTTAATTTTGTAACAGGTGAAGTGATCCAATATATAGAGATAGTACAATGCAAGAAAATTAATATATCGGCCTTTTCTTAAAGAGGATTTTTTTTTTTAGAATTTTAGATTTGATTAATTTTGATGATTATAATAAAAGTCCCATGAATTTAGTTGGTTTTATTGTGGATTAGTGTAACGGGTGGGCGCTTACCCATTTATCCAAAAGCTCGAACTATTGGGTAGTGCTGCATACCCACCCATTTATACACACTTCAACCCCCATCCAAATCCGATGTGGGACAAGTTTCACTTGTAACATTCTCCCCCACCCGAACCCACGCAACGCCCTCGTTGCGGTCAGACCACTCTGCCTACCCGGAGGCAGACCCGGACGCCTTCCGGGCAGGGCGCTTGGCGTGACACCGGATTAAGGACTGGGTCTGGCTCTGATACAAATTGTAACGGGTGGGCGCTTGCCCATTTACCCAAAAGCTCGAACTATTGTGTAGTGCTGCATACCCACCCATTTATACACACTTCAACCCCCATCCAAATTCGATGTGGGACAAGTTTCACTTGTAACAATTAGTATGTTGATTCGAAGGTGGAAGGGGTTAGGGTTTAGTGAAAAAAAATTCAAAAGTTGCTGATTGTGGTGGGGAAGAAGAAATTTTTAATATATATATTTTTCTATTGATTGAGGGAGATAAGTTAGTTAAGATGGTGTCCATGGATGTTGACATCCAAGCCTTAAGATGGGGCCATTAGAAATTGACACTTGAGGGCATATTTGCTAATGCAAATTTGGTAATGTTTGTTGTAATTTAAATAGTACTGAAACGCTTTATAAATTAAGGTCAAAATTGTCATAATGATACTTTTGCTTCTTTTCGCACCGCACTGTTTAATTTTTTTTTTTAAATAACATTTTTAACTAGTCATTTAAATTTTCAAACTTGCAACACTTTTTACTAAATATGCTTTCATGTTTTTGTTTATAAAAATCTTATAACAAATTTACGTTACTAAACAAATTTCAAAATACTGTTGGACACATTCTAAGGTTTCGTTTGTTTGAACGAAAAATATATATATTTTTTTGGTATTTGGTTGTCGTAAAATATTTACGAAAAAAAAAAATTAAAATTTAGCAAAAATAATTTATTAATAAATTTTCGATAAGTTATTTTACATATTTCGTCCCATGAATTCGACCTCAATCTTGACAAGTTATTTTGCATATTTCGTCCGATGAACCCGAACTCAATTTTAACGTAGACTTTTGCCAAAAAAAAAAAAAAAATTTATCTGAAAAAAAATATTCAGCCAAATAAATCGAACCTAAAATGAAAATATTAATCAAAATAAAAACACAAAGTGTCAATTGCACTCTAAACAGCGAAATACTCTTATTTTGGGGGCCCATATAGCAGGACGCTAATTTAAGAAGTTTATTTGCAACTGCACTGCCCTAATTTAAATCAACTAAACCGCTGCATAGGATTAAATCGGTGTGTGTGTGTGTGTGTGTGTGTGAGAGAGAGAGAGAGAGAGAGAGAGAGTTGGACGTTCAGACACAAAAGCCGAGAAGAAACGGAGAGATGAAAGCTGAGGAGGGTGAAAGAGAGAGAGCAGCTTCTCCGACTGATTCACAACAAACAAGTAAGATCGATTTAAATTTTTTTTTTTTTTTAATATTAATTTATCAATTTTGCTTCCTTATATATATATAATATATGTATGCATGCATGTGTATTTTCTCAGTTAAAAAGAAAAATTCAGTAGCTTCTCCTTTTCAATTCTTAATTTAAGACCCTAAATTTCGATTTGAATATTCAATGTTCTCCAACTCTCTATATGCTGGAAATTCTGGGTAAAATTTTGCCATTTGTGGCACTGTTTCTGGTTGCTTTGTGTAAGTTGAAACGCCAATTTGGAGAGAGAAGTGTACAAGTGTGTTTGAGGTTATCAACTTCAAATAACTTTATAAATGAAGCCTCTGTTATATTTTAATATTTTATTGTCTGAATTTCACAAAGTATTTTATAATATTAGAGCCAAATCAAGATTATTAGACTTTCGCACTCTTAAATCTTAAAAAAACTCAAGGTTCTTATTCATTGAGAACTATTTGATTTTTTCTTAGAATTGGCAACTAAATTCAAATCCAATACTTGGTTCTGGAAAATTTGAAGTAAATTTTCTTCAATTAAAATTGAAATAATGTGAAGTAACAAGTTCAAGTCTTTTTTCCATGTCTTATGTTTATTTGTGAATGAATTATTCTCTCTCTTTTCTTTTTCCTTCTATGGTTTTGTGTAAATATCATCTTGAGCTTGTTTAATACTCCGTATTTGGTTGTTTTCATCAACCTGAGTAAGCAATATAAGTTTTCTGGCTCAATCACTCACCTGTATGGATTCGTCGCTGAAATAATTCACATGGCTTGCTTTATGTTGATGCGAAAATCCTCGTGACTTGGAACGACGGCGTTTACCTGCAAAACAAAAGGACAGTCATCTCGAATGGCACCGGTGGGGTGCCAGCCGAGGACTTTCCGACGATCAAGTTAGTACTTGTAATCGTATCACATAATAATTATGTATCTTCTCTTTAGTGGTTTTTTCTCGTACCTTCTTTAACGGCTTGGTGCCTTATTTATGGCTGTCGATTGGAATCAAATTGGTTTCGTCGACGTCGATGGTTGAGGGCTCCCTTATCATCTGCTTGTGTGAGATCAGAGGAGATCCGTTTGTTGCCAGATTTGTCGGGGATATGATTTACTCCTTTGACTTTCTCACATTGTGCCAAGATTATCCTTACCCTGTTGAATCACGTCATCTTTCATTATCCTTGATAATGAAATATTATCATTCTTATCCAATGAAAATATCATCGTTCGAAAGTCGAAGAGGTCTGGCGGCTGGTCAACACTTAGTTGCCTCTATCGTTAGGTCAAGGTAGATTAGGTTTATTTTTTCCTATCAGTTGCCCCCCGTTCCCAAGCTTGCTCGTCTAGCTTTGGGAATGTGAATTTTTTTTTTTTTTTTGCCTTGGGGAACAGTGCCCGCGGGTACTGTTCATGTGAAAAGTAATTTTTTTTTTTTTTTTCTCCCTAGGTAATATTCCCTTGGGTACCCCTTGGGTACTGTTCCCTTGGGTACCATTTCCTTGGGTATTGTTTCCCTGGGTAATCTTCCCTTAGATACTATTCCCTTGGGTAATGTTCCCCTGGGTACTCTTCCCTTTGCTACTCTTCTCTTGGGTAATGTTCCCCTGGGTACTCTTTCCTTGGGTAATGTTCCCCTGGGTAATTTTTCCCTTGGGTACGATTTTCAATGGTGGAATTAACACAGATACCAAATCAAGGTTCTGTTTTGGAAGGGCATGGATTCAAACCCATGATTAATGACTCTTAGTGATGTAAAACTGGATTTTTCTTTTGAAAATCTAATATACTAGTTGTAAACTTTATGGGTTTCAGTCAACCCATCCTTTTAGCAAGGGAATAAATTTTACGAGCTTCACTCAGCTCGTCACACCTTTAATAAGAGAATTGAATTTTACGAGCTTTACTCAGCTCGTCCCTTTGGTAAGGGAAGTAGGTTTTACGAGCTTCACTCAGCTCGTTCCTTTAATAAGGGAATTAGATTTTTTGTTAGCTTTTTGTAAAGCATTAATTACCACATAGGTATAACATGTGAGGGAGCTACCCTCCATTTAAAATAATAAATTACCGATTAATAAACATCGTCCCTTTAAAGATGGACTTCTCTGGAACTTGTGAGGAGGATCGTTTTTTTGACCTGACCTTTGTAGGTTAAATCCTGATCTCTGATGACCATACTTTTATCAGTTAGGCCCTGGTCTTGGTCTCTGATGACCAGACTTGGGGTGACCAGGCACTGATCTTGGATGACCGAGCCTTTGTAGACTTTGGGCAATCAATTCTTAATCTTGGTTGACTAGGCCTTGGTTTCGGATAACCAAGCCTTGATTTATGATAACCAAAGGTTGTATACCCTTATGATCTAACTTTTGGTGTTGGAACTATTTTCTCTTTCTAGAGTCGTATTTAGATCTGTTTGACCATTGATGTCTCGACCCTTTAATAAGGGAAGTAGTCGTTCTTACTCCAGCCCGCCCTTTTAATAAAGGGTTATTTTTACGAGCTTCACCCAGCTCGCCTCTTTAATAAGGGGATGTTTTGCCCAAGCTTTATATGCTTGCCCTTTAATAAGGGAGTCAAAGTTTTTCACTTTCGTGGACTTATCCTTTATGCTTGCCTTGCTTTGTGGCTATGGTGGTAGTGACCCGTCAAATTTGAAGTGCATGTGACTAAGCTTGGTTCCTGGTAGAAAAGACCATCATTGGTGTTTGATGGTTAAAAACCTCATGGGACCACCTTGGCCACGGTGGACTCATTGATTGTAGAAACTTCACTGGACTTATAGTCTTTTCCGGTGTGTAGAGACTTACCAGGTTATGGTTTCGGAGGATCGGGCACTGGTCTTGGACGACTAGTGCCCCCGAGGGGTCGCTAAAGGAGGGAGACTAGAAACTCGACTAGATGTACGGTTGGTACGTCAATCTTCTAAACCTTGTCATCACATGTAGATCGACAATTAATATCGTGTGATCCACTATTCTGCCCCCGATATAGACGTGTATACAGCGGACGGGGTGCCTGGTGCTGCAACAATTTACAGTTGTCTGAAAATATTAGATTGTGTTAGAAATGATTACTGAAAATTAACCTGCAATGGATTATCAATCCAAAATTCTACATAATCTGAAGTCGATAGGCAATTCCTGCAAGGGAAGAGAGGTGACGACTGTCGTCTGGTAGGTGGAGGCTTTACTAGTAGGTAGAAACCCCCTTGTTGGTAGTGTTCTTCTTGATGGGTGGAGACCTACTCATTTATGTAGGTGCAGAAGGACGAGGCCTTAGTCTTCAACGATCAGGCTTTGGTAGTTGGCTGCTGCCAGATATGAGATAGAGTTTGGTCTTAGACGACCAAACCTCAGTAGTGAGGGGACCAAGCATTGCTAGATGGAAAACACCACATTGGACTGCCTGCGTCGACGTGCCAAATTTTGATTATTGTCATCGTACACTAGGTGGCATCACGCAACCTACCGTTTTGCCCCCAATATGATGGACGGGTAATCATGATGTATAGACCCATCCTTATATAAGAACATGGAAACCCGTTGTTAACTGATGACTTTGGGATGGTTTTCATGATCGGAAACTTTCGTCTTGCCGTCCGAGCCAAGTCGCGTCAGGATTATTATTTCTTCAGAGAACTAATCATTCCCATAGACGGCGCCAGCTGTTGATGCGAAAATCCTTGCGACTCAGAACAACGACGTTTACCTGCAAAACAAAAGGACGTCATCTTGAATGGCACCGGTGGAGTGCCAGTCGAGGACCCTCCGACGATTAAGTTAGTACTTGTAATCGTATCACATAATAATTATGTATCTTCTCTTTTGGTGTTTTTTCTCGTACCTTCTTTAATGGCTTGGTGCCTTATTTATGGCTGTTGATTGGAATCAAATTGGTTCCGCCGAAGTCGGTGGTTGAGGTCTCCCTTATCATTCGCTTGTGCGAGATCAGAGGAGATTCGTTTGTTGCCAGATTTGTCGGGGATATGATTTACTCCTTTGACTTCCTCAAATTGTGCCAAGGTTATCCTTACCTTGTTGAACCACGTCATCTTTCATTATCCTTGATAATGAAATATTATCATTCTTATCCAATGGAAATATCATCGTTCGAAAGTCGAAGAGGTCTGGTGGCTGGTCAACACTTAGTTGCCTCTATCGTTAGGTCAATGTAAGTTAGGTTTATTTTTCCCTATCACTTTAAGTGACTGGAAATCTGGGTAAATTATCCCCTTTTTATTAATAGTAATCGTGATATGTTGAAGAAAGAAAGAAAATACATCAAAGAAGGTGCACACACTTACCAAAAAAAGAGGAAAAAGGTGTAATATAAGGGTTATGATTAAATGTTTAGAATTGTAAGATCAATAAATGTATGGAACTGTAATCTCACAAAATGCATCCGCGACAAAATCAAGTCGAATATATGCTCACAATATGAGTATAGCAGTACATAGCTTTTCTTCACGAATATACAAAAGGTCCACATAATTAAATAAGTTTTCTATTCTGCTCTGCTTGAATGTACTATAAATTTTTTTTCTTCGATAAGTAAGATTTGTATATTAGGCGCTAATAAGGGAGCACAACCCATAAAAGAAACTTAAGGCCAAACAAAATTGCTATAAAATTTCCAACCTCAGTTATTATTAGAATGGTTAAGCCTACTTAACTCTATGTCCTATTAGTCTATATTACTATCGCAAAGAATAAGATCTCATTCCTCATTGCTTACTAACATGGGCTTTAGATACAAGACAATAAAATTGCTTCTTTTTATGTACACTTCTCTGAAACTAACATGGGCTACGTAATCAAAAGGAAAGGCAGGTGCTAGCTTACAAATAATATGGCTTAAGATCATGATTCTTTAAGATATTCAATTTTTAAGGAGTGACAGGGTGTAGCATTTACACCATAGTGTTAACACTTTGTTTCAAAGACCAGAATATGACCACAAGAAGTAAAATCACAGCAATTTCATCTAGTCTGTTGGATGGGTTGGTAGATCAAGCTATAAGGAATTAAAATTGGTCTTGATGAAGATTGAGTGACCAAACTGCAAAAGGAGATTTATATTCTGGTGGATTAGTGCTAGAGAATCATTATAATAGAGAGTGACTATCTTAGTAGGGGTATTAATCAGCCAGACCAATGTTTGAAGACTTGGCTTGACAATGGAGTTCCACATGAGGGGGTTTCTTGGAATTGAACAGCAAAATGGTATCTCTGAATGAAGGATCACAGATGAGACTGCAATCATAATTGTGAGAGACTCCAAGAAGAAATTCAACTTTCCATATATCGGTTTTGAGAAACCCTAGTTTAATCTTGAGTTGTGAGTGCCCATGGTTGGGATACAGTGAGAAAATTATCAGCAAGTAAACTGTAACCTTAAGGCTTCAGTTTGGCCATAATTCTGTGTAGTGTAAAATCGAATGGCAACTAAACTTATTAAGGAAGATTACATATATTCCATGGACATTGTTGTGACATTGATATCTCTTTTTTCTTTTTCTTATCTGAAATCACCATTCATATACAAACCTTCAAGTTTCTGATGCTTAAACCTTTATTTGAATATTTTTGCCATATGAGCTCTAGAAAGTCAGTCTAGTCTGTATTTGAATTTAAAATGCTAACCAGGCTGCTGTTTGATGTATTCCTCAGTTTCCGATGATGATGAAATAGACTATTCTGTGAAACCAGAATTTTATGATCCAGATCTTGATGAAAAAGATGAATTATGGGTTCAAAAGAAACGAAAAGGTCATTTCTCTGATGCTGTGCTTAGCTGCCCAGCTTGCTTCACCACCCTTTGCCTAGAGTGCCAAAGGTATTGGATCTGTTTGTTCATTTTTTGGTATATTATATTTACTAAAGAGGAAATGTTCCATGTCATGCGTTTTTTTACAACCTTCGTTTTTCATATGTGATTTTTTTTTTTCCTTCATAATTGTATATGTGAAGAAGGTGCATTCCTCTTTCAATTATTTTCTAGGATTCTTTAATTTCTCAAGTCATGTCTCTTTTTTTATTTTATTTTATTTATTTATTTTTTCCCTGGGTAAACTGAGATAAGAAAAGGAAAAAAAAACTCACTGCTACTAGAATCACCCTCTCTCTCTCTCTCTCTCTCCCCACCTTCCTCTCCCGCAGTGGTATGGGGGCTTATATAGGTGTTTATGTACTCATTTCTGCATTTATCTATATCCGGATTACTTGATGTACGAATGATCCATTATAGGTAATAAGTTGCAGGGGATGTGGGTTCAGAATTCCTTTGTTAAGGAAATCTTCTGATATTGAACAATAGTATGAATAAGAAGTTATGGAATTATGGATCCTATATAGTTCAGCCATCAAGGGGTTTCAAAATTACGCGAGGAAGTGATTATTATCCAAGCATGATTCGAAGATGCGGACGTGGAGCAGTATCGTTACCATGAATTTTTTGGCCTCACACATAGGGTCTAAAATGGACCAATACACAACTTCTTACAAAATAATCCATTAAATATGAGTTTTTAATGAATTTTAGTAGTTTTTTGTTGAATTCTTAAAGATCATTTGAGATAAGTAATAGCCTTTACATAAATTGTAAACCTAATAGGATATTGATTTGTATGAAATTAACAACTCATATTTGTATCACGTAGTCAAAACTTAAAATAAACTGATAATTATTCGTGAACATATTAATTGATGCAGGAGAATGAATTGGATGCATAGAAAAGAATAAAAAAATGTGTCATGTAAAAAAATCCATGTAACTGATTCATTTTTATCTTTTTCTATATTGAAAAAAGAATGATAGATTGACACAACTCTTTAAGTCTGACATATGTAACGTATTCATTTTATCTTTTTTTTTTATATTGAAAAAATAAAGATATGTAGATCAACACGACTCTGATGCAAATGGCCCTATGGTTAGAGGGGAGCCAAAATACCATAATGCCTTATAATTAACAAATAGGTGTAGTTGTAGAGGTAAGGTATAGGTCTCTCTTTTTGTTTTCAAATAAGATGCACAAGGCTCAAGTTTGTAGAACAGTTGTACTCATTGCACAACAACCTTTAAGGCTTCATTTTGATTGAGGAAATCGGAAGGAAAAGAAAATAAAAGAAATGAGGAGAAAACATATTTTATGTTTGGTATAAAAATGCGGGAGGGAAAGAAAGGAAAATGAGGGATCGCTTAACCCTTCCAACAATGTTTTTACTATCCTCCCACAAGTGGGAGGTTTTGGAGAGAAAATATAACTATTTTAATGAAAGTTTCAGAATATCAATAGTACCTTTAAAATTATAAAGAAGAAAAATAAAAAGTCGTCTTAGTCAAAGGGCATTTTTATCGATCTTTTGTGCTCATTTGTCTAATACATCTTGAGTGGCCACTTGAGAGAATCACTTGCAGCAGTGGAATTCATCAATCTTCTGTGCTATTACTTTTGCGTGTATTTTTAATGCACTAGTGTTCTATTTTTGTTATCTAAATGTAAAAGTGTATGATAGTAAATTTAATGATATAGGTTCCTTTTTTTATTTATTTTTATTTTTTCTCTCTTCTTCTTCACTTTTTACAAATAATAGTAGAAGTTATTACTATATTTTTCTTTCTTTTCCTTCTTAACTTATCCAAACACACAAGTAAAGGATTAAGTTATCATTTCTTTTCTTCTCTCTCATAACTAATGTTTTTTGATAAATAATTTTCTCTCATAAGTTGTGACTAATGTTATACTTTCTTTTCTTTTCCATCCTACTTGTCCAAAACGAAGCCTAAATAAAGTGATGAAGCCACTTGTCCAAAATTGATAAAGATAACAAACATCTTATACATGAAACAACTGTTCTCCAAACTTGTATCAGTATCATTGCTTAAAAACACTTTCAATGTTTCATTCAAGTCACATAATATTTGTTCCATGATCCTATCAATTGTTTGGGACAGTACAAACAATGGATCAATTCCAGAAGAGTTTGGATGGATTAACCCCTTCCATTCCAGAATAGATAAAGACACTTTTTTGAGTCTTTTCAATTTATGCAACACTTTAAATTACATAATGTTTCCTAACTTCATTTATATGCATAACACTTTGTAATGCAGTCATAATCAAAATAAAAAACCTAAATTTGAGTGATCATCATACTATATTGCTTTTACCATCTTAACCAAAAATGATGCTTACAGATCTTCAAATCCTGTGCTTCTTGATCTTCCAAAGCCGGTCTCTATTGTATCAGTAAGCTCTTAACATAATACTGGCTTGATGAAATTAAGATACAAACTCAATTATTTTTATTTTTATTTTTTTATTTTTTTCTCTCTCTCTCCCCCAAAATATGCTCACACGTGAAAACACTATGTATAGAAAATCATTGAGAAGATGAAAAATTAACATACAAGATTTGACTTCAAAAGATACAAATATACAATGCAATAAAAGGATGTCTTTCTTGTAACAACCTCCACCTTATCCAGACATAATATTGTTCGCTTTTGGCTTACCTGGACCAGAGACTTCCCAGGGAATCACCCATCTTGTACTACTCCAGGTTAAGCACGCTTAACTCCGGAGTTTTGGTGGGTTCATGGCCATCACGGCTTTAAAATGCGCTGTGTCATAGAAGGGTGTTGAATCTATATTAAACATTTGCCCCATCCACACCTAGGCGATGTGGGATTGTGCACCTGTAGCTCGCCAAGTGTGGTAGCCTACTGGTGCCACTTGCACAGGCTAACATACACTCGCCCACAAGGTCGCCACAATCATCCCCTTGGGGCCCAACGTCCTCATTGGCCACACTTCCGGCTAGGTTAGGCTCTGATACCATTTGTAACGACCCCTACCCTAGCTAGACACAATATTGTCCACTTTTGGCTCTCCCGGACTAGAGACTTCTCAGGGGGTCCCCCATCCTAATACTACTCCAAATTAAGCACGCTTAACTATGGAGTTTTGGTGGGTTTACGGTTATTACGGCTTTAAAACGTGTTGTGTCATAGAAAGGTGTGGAATCTACATATAGCACTTGCCCCATTCATGCTCAGGCGATGTGGGATTGTGCACTTGTAGTTCGCCCATTGTGGTAGCCTATTGGTGCCACCTGCATATGCTCACACACACTCGCCCACAAGGTCGCCACAATCACCCCTCCTTTGGGGCCCAACATTGTCGTTGGCCACACTTCCGGCTCGGTTAGGCTCTGATACCATTTGTAGCAACCCCCACTTTATCCCGACACAATATTGTCCGCTTTTGGCTCCTTTGGACTAGAGACTTCCCAAGGGGTCACCCATCCTAGTACTACTCCAGGTTAAGCACGCTTAATTCTAGAATTCTGGCGGGTTCATGGCCATCACAGCTTTAAAAAAATATATATTTATGGTAGATATGCATTGGGCGATAACCATTGATAAAATTTGTTCCTAAAAGAAATCTCGTTGCATATAACGAAAATCGAGAATTTTAGGAATGATTTTTTTTTTTTTTTTTAAAAAAAAAAAAAAAATTTAAGCATACGATATCGTTTTAGCTTTGAATTGTATGGTAGTTTGTCTACCATCAATTTCTTTACCTAATATTGTAGTATTCATCCCCATCCATTTTTCTTCTGGAAGTGCTTTCCATCGATAAGAAGATATGGTTTCTTCAGTATCAACTAATGCACATAGGGTACATGGTTCATATCCTGAAATATTTAGATGTCCTGATACATATGTATATTACTTCTGTCCATAGCTTGGAGAAAAGGTTTTTATCTTCTTTTCCGAGATGAAATGATATATTTGAGTAGAATATTTATTTTCCTTTCTATATGAAGTTCCTGCCATAATGGGAACCTGTTTATTTTTCATCGGCTTCTTGATAGAACCATTACAGAAAAAAAAAAAAATAATGACAAACACCGCGAACCAAGAACAAATCAAGAAATACGACAGAACATGGCACAAAAAAACCACAAAAATTTATGTGGTTTGGCTTAAACCTAATCCTACGTCCATGTTGAAGATCTGGCGAAAAATTTCAACTATGTGAAAAACTGGAGATTACAAGTTTCAACCCCCAACTCTCACTCTCTTTCCTACGATTTTCAATGTTCTATATACTGGGCTATAAGATAGTCCTAAAGAAGGTCCAAGACTCACAAGCGAAAAAAAAGGGGGTCATAAAATATTTTGGGTCAGAACGCGACCTTGAGCAGAAACAATATTTGGGCCACAACATCACAATTTATTTATTTTTCCTAAGTTTCTAGATTCTCTAAAGCTTAGTCTAGTAAAATTTTCCCATCTTGTTGATTCAGAAATTCTTTCAGCCACCGCTTGGTTGAAGTTTTCCTCTCCTTTTTTTTTTTTTTTCCTAATCAAATATATGAAATTTTCTTTAATAGTTATATTTTTATCAGATCAGAAATTTTCGCAGTTTTTTTCTTAAGTGAAATTATTTAATAGTCAATCTAAACATACGGTTAATGTTAAAATATTCTACTAATTTTTTTCTTTCTAAAACTTAGTAGCTTTATATGATAAATATGTCAATTCATGTATTGTTTTCCAATTTGCTAAATTATGTAAAATATGTATCATATCTATAGTCATATCTATACCCTTTGTTTGGATTTCGATTCTTAGAATCTTCAAGATTTGAATCATTTATCAAAAAATAAGATAATATGGGCTGATATTTAAGTACATATACTTAATTAGATTGAACTCCTATAATAGCTTTTATTGGTTATTTCCCCCTTTTTAGGGCATTTGGGTGCTAAATGTCCTTCATTGCATATGTAACATTTGCAACTTTTTCATTTTTGAAAATTGTTGATTTTTCTTTTTTCTTCTTGCATATTTTCTTACATACTCTCATTCTTAACTTTTAAACTTTCTTGGCTTTAATTTTGTGACCATCTTGTTTTTTTGTGGTTTCTTCTTGAGTATCAGAACAATTTCCAATTTCATTTATGTGGCATCAACATTTGCTTGTCTTCAATCGAATGAGACAATAGAATTGAAGTTGAGCTAGAATTACAAGATTTGATTTCCTAAATTTTTTCTTCAGCGGGATATTTACCTGTAAGAGCAATTGCTATAGCCTCCAAAGTTACCTGTGTCCAACCAAACCAGAGATGCTTGAACAGTTAAAATAGGACAGCTATTATACCACACTAGTATGGGACAGCACTAGAAAACTTAGAGAACAAGGCTTATTAAGATTGATTTTTTGTTAGGTTTTGGTCTGGAAAAGACTATATGTTTACCATTTAGGTTTTAAAATAAGTGAAAATAATGTTGTAGGGATTATTGATTAAAAGTGATTGGGATTGCTTTTGATTCTAAAGTGATAGGTTGTCAAAAATATAATGTGATGGAATTTGTGAAGAACAAGTATTTTATGGTGCGTTTCGTAGGAGGGAAGGAACCCGGTAGAAGGGAAAAGAGGATAAGTGGAGCGAGTTTTCATGGTTTGGTACAACGGAAAGTTGGAGGGAAGGGAAGGATAATTGTATGAAGCACCCCTCCTGGCCCATCAACTTTCATCCATCCAAAAGTGGACGGAAGAGTTACTTGTTAAAAAAAAAAAAAATGTGCACGGATGGGAGGGGGGAAGAGAAGGATAAGTATGGTATATCATGTAAAGTGACATTATTACCCTTCATCAAGTTTTGTAGAATTATGTATGAGGGTATAATGGTAAAAAAAATATAAAATACCTCCCCTTTTCTCGTACCAAACTATAGAAAGTGCAGCTCCTTCCACTCCCTTCCACTCAACCAAACAAAAATAGAGGGAACCTTCCTGAGGATGTCTTATCCATCCTTCCTAGATTCCCTTCCATCCATTTTTCCATCCTTCTTACCTAACGAAGCATTACGGTTTTGGGTATTGAATATTTGAATGAAAGGCTAAAGATGAGGGAGAGGGTTAGGTTAATTAGGGCTTGGTACGGTAGACTTGTGCACATGAAATATGGCCTCTTTGGGGACCATGAACAGTAACTTGAGAATACTAGCTAAAAAGGGAAAGAAGAAGAATAATCATTATATTGGAAGTTGGAACAAATCTACAATTCTTTAGGCTTCACCCTTGTAGGGATAAAAATAATCACAATAGCGTCTTCTCAAATTCTCATGACTTGCCTGACTATTTTTTTTCCTGAATGGGATTTTTGATTGAAGAAAAGTAAAGTACAAATAGAAACTGAGGGCATATCCTCATATTACAACAATGGAGAAGAAAGACTCCATTTTCAAAACAAAGAGATAAGGAAGATGAAAGGGAAAGTACATCAGCATAAAAAAATGGAATCAAGATCTCCCAAGCTGAGATTAAGTGGAAAGATGGCTTCCCAAATCACATCTCTTCCGAGACCGTCAGCATCCTTTGGATTACCATCATGAAGTATACTGTTTTTCTCTCTCCACAAGAACCACAAGGCTGCAGCAAAAATCAATCTTAACACTTTACTTCTAATGGTAGTCCCCTGAGCATGAGATTAGAACCACTGGACCATAGAATCAAATGAAGAGAACTGATCAAACTAAAGGTGCAGACAACTGAAAATCTATTTCCACACTTGATTAGCAAAAACACAAGATGCAAAGAGGTGATCCCTACAGTCCTCTTCTGCACAACAGTTATGACAGAAGGAATTCAAAACCAAGCCTCTCTTTTGAAGAAACAAGAACTTGGGGAAGGCATCACTCATAATAAGAACAACAATAAATCGAATTCTAGGATGACAGTGATTCCAAACAGTATTCTTCCACTGAACCTTACTTCTACTAGCACGACTACCATCCCAACCTGATTTGAATGAACTAGCACCAGATTTCCAAACAATAGAACCAACACCCTGATGAATAGGAATAACATTTATAAAAGATGTAATCTGAACTGGCCAAGAAGCAGAAAGGAACCATTTCTGATCATGAATAAAGTTCTGTAATAGGTCAAACCTCCCAAGCCCTCTACACAAACCATGCTCAAATCTTTAGACCAAAGTCTTACCCATAGTCCACGGGTGCATGCACAAAGAGGAAGCATCCACTACCAATTTTGAACTGAACCTGTCATAGAATCAAATCCCTCAACCATAAAAGATCTTCCAAATAGCAGTGTCCTGTTGTTTAGGGATACAGATCCACTAGTTTTCATTTTTAAGATATTTTTTTTTTGTAGAACCATGACACCCACAATCTTTTTTTCTTCTGTATAAAATCCCAAACCAAAAGACACTTTGCAACATTATCTGTCTTCAACTTTCCTAACGCCAAGCCCTCCTTCTGCAATTGAAAAAGTAACCTCACTCCACTTAAGATCATGCATTTTCCTGACGGAATCTGAACTTCCTCCAAATGAAGTCTCTTATTTTCTTCTCAATAGGAACTCTACATTACCATGGAATTTTAAAAACATAACTCCAAAAATACATATAGGAAAGAATATCAGTTTTAACCAACTGAACTCTACCAGCAAAACTAAACTCTGTTTAATAGAAAGATTAAAAATATATTTAGTAGCACTAGAATTGGAAATCTTATATAGATAGATAACTTGAGTTTTTAACAATTACTATGAACATTGTAGACTTAATGAAGATTACATATAAGACCCAATATCTTAACTTTTGATCTAAAATTGGACTAGTAAAGTTTTACCGCAGTCCATGACCAGCCGTAGAAGTTATCAAATACCATTGGCCCTTGAAACCTAATAAAACATATCAATTATCAAATACGAGTTGGTACAATGTGATAGTTGGTACTCAAGTGTGCGAGTATAAATTTGAGATAATTTATTGCACAAGTGAAAGAATTGCGATTAGAGTTAGGATCATACCTTGTGGAGATAAATCTGTTCACCAAGTCTCAAATGCACCAGTTTTCCAGCTTTTCATTTCATTTTACCAATATGTCAATGAAGTTCCTAAAGTATGTTAACAGGAACATGGATAATTCCAGTATGTAGGCCAGGAATGGGAAAGCAGTGTGCTGCATAAGCTAAAATTTGGTACAATGAAAGTAAGTTTATATACCTGCATAATTTAGAAATCGGTTCGATTTTTGGAACTGGTCATAGTCAGTTTGGTTTTGCGCAACCAAGACCAATTTATTGCATCCCTAGCTTTATGTACCTATTTCTTGATAGTAATACAACAATAACCAAGCCTTTTCCCAATTATTTGGGTCGGCAACATGAATCCCATGTTTTCAATCCGCTCAATTTAAGGCCATGGCCTTAGTCACCTATTTCTCGATAGTAATATGAGTGTAAATATAGTTTACTTATCAAAAAAAAAAAAAAAGAAAAAAAAAAAAAAAATATGAGTGTAAATATAGAAACATGCATCTACTTTGCTGTGTATTTCATCGCTTTCCTATCAATGGATTTCAATGAGTTGGTTGTGTTGTGGCTGTGTGTGTTCCATGTTTGTGCTACATAGCTGTCTTGTCAAACACAAATTCCATCATGTTTTCTTTAAGCTTTTATTTGTTCGGTTGGAAATGGGAAACAAATGGATGATTCCTGGGTACTGCTGTTTTTTATTTCACAGCTGCATTCTTAAATAATATTATATTTTTAATTTGTATGTCGTCTTCTGAAACTGTTAGTAACATGGGTCTTGTAGGCATGAAAAACATGTGACCCAGTACAGGGCGATTTTTGTTGTCAACTGCAAGATCAAGAGTGACCAAGTATCGCAGCAAGGAAGTTTAAAAAGAAAAAGGGGCCAAAAGGGGAGAGAATCTGGCGAGAGTGAAGCAGGTTCTGCTGGTGGTGAAACATTCAAGCCAGTATGTTGCTCTGTTTGTTCGACGGAGGTTGGAGTCATTGATGAAGAGGAGGTCTATCATTTCTTCAATGTTCTTCCAAGTGAGTCTTGATCTGTTCGGTTTAATTATCAAATGCATGAGTATGTAGTTTACAATAAGCTGCAGTGGATCCGTATTTGTATGCAATGTCGAAGGCAGTTCATTACTTAAATTCATTTTACTTCATGTATATGCCGTCTTCACAAGCATAGGCAAGATAGGCATATACTTCTGCATGTGCAAGAATTGATGCTATTTATGTACAGTGAAGTAGTAGTTATCAGCACATTGACCTCAGCAATGTTTTTTGGTGCCTTGTTTTTCGGGCCTTCATAAATTACTTCAATCCAGCAGATTGCCTGTGGTTTGTTTTATCTCACACACACACACACACACACACACACACACACACACACACACGTAATTTGAAAGATAGAAGTGATGAAGAAAGGCAATGAAAATTTGAAACTGATCATGAATTGGTAAGATTTAAAGAACACTATTATTACAAGACCAGCATAAAGTCATAAACTACAATGCAGTTGGAAAGTGGCTTGCTTTGTACATGCTCAGGTACCAAATAATCCCACAGAAAAAAAAATAAAAAAAATAAAAATAAAGGTGGGACAATAATCAAAAGGTACATCGAATGAAATAAAAATTAATTTTAAAAATAAATATGAAGGGATAAAGTTGAAATGAGGTTATTATTGTTTATTCAATAGTATTAAGTCGATACTGCATGGACAACAGTTGAGCTTTCTTCGAGTGAGATGTGTAGTAGGGTTGAAGTTCTAATTGAGGGACAAGGGTGTGTTTATGTGTTTTTGTAGTTAAAAATAAAAACAATAATAATAAAATAAACAGCGTGAGGTTATGAGCACGTGCATAACGTGTTTAATTAATGATATTTATTTAAAAAAGTTTTATAGCTCGTGCTCATGATTGATACTCAATAATGAGTACCTTTAAAGCCAATTAATTTTATCCAAATTAAATAAAGGAATTAAATGTATACTTGAGTTGAAGAAGGATTTAATAACTGTTTAACCCAAAAAAACAAAGGATTTAATAACTGAACCAGAGCCCAAAATAATAGCAAGGTCTTACCTAAAGCACAATAGCAGGGAAATTTGAGGGCAAGACTTTTTTTTTTTTTTTTTTTTTAGTTTTATAAATATGTCTACAATATTCCTAACAAGAACAATGTAATTTGTGTGGGAGATTCTCCTTTTCTCTCTCTCTCTCTCTAAAACTTCAAAAAAAAAATTTCTGCCATACAGACAAACATCAACACTACACCCAGATCTCAACAACGATACAGACCAACACTAGGTATAAAACAAACTAACCATAGCACCACCCTGAAACATATACAGGACTATCAAGCCGCCCAGACATCTAACCTAACCAGCAAAAGCAAAAAAAGAAGGCCGAAACCTTCACCAAAAATGCTACCAAGGCATCACCGTTAGCAGCAAACGACAAATGCATCAAGTGGCTTTAGATGGTCTCGGCTGGCTAGCACCGACAAGCATCGCCAACTGGGTGGCAAAAAGAGTGGAGAAGATTTAGAGGTCCAAGATTCACTGTTATGAGCACCAGATTTAGATGGATTACAGACCTCCTTAACATTCATTAACTGCCCTGTTTGCATGCACACATCCGAAGAACCCACCACTTCTGTGCGCTTCTTCCCACCATGATCATGGACTTCCTGAGAGCCACAAGAATTAGCCGGCCTTCTCTTGCGCCCCTTCCTTTGGAAAGTAAGAGGCCGATACCGTTAGGCATTGGCTCATTGGTTTCATCTCGAGCTTTGGTCAATTGATCCCATCTCTCCAAAGGTAAAATCTGGCCTTAATCGGAGAACTCATAAGCTCACATTGCAGTTGTTCCTCACTGATGCCACATGACTTTGGCAAGAGGAACCTTGGACATGCCGTAGGTCGTGACTAGGGTTAACATCACCTCCCTGAACAAATTCCGCATCTAATCCTTTTCCTTTCAACAACCCAGCAGCTAAATTTTTGGGATCCACTTCATTAGTATAACATTCCCTTTTCCCATCTCCGACATCCAACATTGTTGTCCCACCTACTTCGGAGAGAGCCATCACCGCATTACCTGATTTATCCGGATTATGTTGTTCCTGGCAAAGATCAATAGGCCCATTTATAGGATGAGAAGCATGCATCAACTCCGGCAATCGACGGGAGGAGGATTGAGACTTCACCGGCCCAACCCCATGTCCCCCATTCGACTCGCTATCCTCCACATATAGTAGCTAAGATTTACTTGGACTATCAATAGAGGAATCAACCACATCACTTTCAGGATTTCAAATATCCTTTCCAATAAAACTCTCCGCTCCTAACCTTAGACCATAGGGGTGGGCCTAACCCGAATCCGTACGTGCCTGGGCAAGGTATTAGGACCATGGGATTGGGTATAAATTTTAAAACCCAAATTTATTTTGGGTGGGATTTAGTCAAAGATTTTAGTGACAGGAGGAACCCAAATACATGAAATATATATATATATATATATATATATATATATATATATATATATATATATCTCTATTTTAAATGTTATATGTTGTTTATGTAAAATAAAAACTAGGTGGTTTAATATTTAATTATTTATAGTAGGGTATTCACCTTGACATACTTTAAAATTTTAAAGTAAAACAAATTTAACTGACCCGAGCAGTTCGAGGAATCCGAAATACATGAAAAATATATATTTTTTACAATTTAAATATTATACCTTGTTTATGTAAAATAAAGTTAAAACTAGGTGATTTAATATTTAATTATTTATAGTCGGGTATTCACCTTGACATACTTACTTTAAAATTTTACGTGCATGGGTGATGCGCTCTGACGATCAATGAATACAGATGTGTATAATATGACAATTGAGAAACACCAATTTTAAATTTATAAAGCCACTACAAAACTATATTTGAAGCATAGTGAGTAGAGATCGAACACAGGGACTATAGGCTTGGATTGAAATTAACACTAATGAGTGTGAGATTGAGAAGATGATGATTGGTTTGTTTAAACTGTTAATTCAATTAAACTAAGTAAAAATTGCAAATGAGATAATATGAAACTGAAATTGGATTAAGATAGTATTGAGAGGGACTTAGGGCATGCACCAAATGCCTTCAATTAATGGGGAAAACAAGTTGTAATGAAGATGTGGCTATAAGCACACATCAATAAGCATGTAAACACAACAATTGCAATGAATAAGCATGAATTATCTATCTAACTAAATTACTCTTAAGATATAGAACAACCCATCAAGATTAAGTATAATTCATTAAATTATGAACAATTATTTCCAATGAAAACAATGCATGTCCATCATTGAATATAATTACAAAAAGTACTCAATGTAGAGATCAATCAACAATCAACCATATATAAGACAACATATAGTCAATTAGAAGATTAACTGGAAGAATTTATTAATACAAAGCTTGGTACAACCAAGTTTGAATCCATAAGACCAAGCAAAAATATACAACTTAGAAATCCCTAAAAATGAAAGACAAGAGATACAATTACATAAGCTTAGGGCTCATCTAAACCCTAAGTGAAGATCTAGCCGGTCATAGAGACGATGGATGTCATCTTCACGGCTTCAATTCCCATCTTTATGCTTAGCTTCATCTTCTTCTTCCACCTTGAGAGCAAACCCTAGAGAGAGAAAGTGTAGAGAGCTTCCCAATTTGATTCCCAAATTGTCAATCTAAAATCCAAATTCAATCCCCTTTCAAAATGGGCTTGATATTCTATTCATAGGTGACTCCTAGGCTCTAAATGAGGTTAGACCTTGTACACAAGGACACCTCATTCATTGCACCCTGAGCTCCCTTGATGAAGGCTTTAAATCTGAAATTCGCAACTGTCAAACCCGTATTCGGTCGATCGGATCATAGTCCGTTCGGTCGGATTCCAAATAGACAATCCGATCGATCGAGTTATCTTTGTATTAGAGCTTTAAACTTCTCTTCCATTGTTCTCCAAAGCTTGCCATCTTTAAACCTTTAAGGCATTGGAATTACCCCTGTTGGATCAAAAGTATCTGAAAATAGAGAATGAAACAAATCAAGACTAAAACGAAGAAGTAAAGATAAACTAAGTTGCTAACTAATGAAGATTAAGAGCTGAATAATGCATATTTCAACACTTATCAATGGGCAAGGTATTAGGACCATGGGATTGGGATTGGGATTGGGATTGGGATTAGGATTGGATATAAATTTTAAAACCCGAATTTATTTTGGGTGGGATTTGGGCAAAGATTTTACTAACTTGAGTAACTCGAGGAAGCTGGAATACATGAAATATATATATATATATATATATATATATATATATTATATTTTAAATGTTATACCTTTTTATGTAAAATAAAGTTAAAACTAGGTGGTTTAATATTTAATTATTTATAGTAGGGTATTCACCTTGACATACTTACTTTAAAATTTTAAAGCAAAACAAATTTATAGTAATTGAATTTTAGTTATGGAAACAAAATAATAAAGAGTTATGATTTTAAATTCTTCCCAAATCTAGTAATTTTTTTTTTTTTTCATTAAGTCCACAAGTTTTAATCACCAAAGTCTCAAAGAAAACCTACTTGGTGTCTGACGTCTGTTGTTCAATCTACTATTCTCACAATGGCCTTTTCTTTACTTTTTCGCTAAAATTTTCGATTCTGTAATGTTTATTTATTAGTAATATGGGATGATATGAGGAACCCGAAAAACCCGTACAACTATGCGGTATGGCGCGGGTTGAGTTGTAATGGGTTCCACGGGACTTGGGCTTGGCGTAGGCTAAGGTATTAGAACCTTGGGTTTGTCATGGGCTAACCCCTTGGCCAGCCCAAGTCCCACCCCTAAACGCAATATAAAAGAGATTAATCGAGACAATAACAAGAAGAATGAACGATGAGTTCAATGTTAGTTCTCATGAAGGCTCCAAATTTTGACAATAATTTTCCAAAGGTACTCTTGCCTCCTAGTGTCACAAGGGTAAAATTTCAGCACCACATAATTACACTATGATGGCACTTGGTTACATTAAGTCTCAGCCGCTCACATACACACAAAGTAATTTCAGAATAGGCACAACGGATATAACATATTTATAGAGGGCTTTGGCCTCCAACCTTCACTATTATTAAGAGTATAATACAAGGAACCCGCAAATGTTTGCACAAACTTACAAAGTGTATCTCTCATGCTTGTTATAGACCTATACACAACCTTACCCAAGGGTAAGTTAGCACACTTAAGGCCTATACGTGCATGTC